AGAAATGTTACCAGATCACTTTAAGATGAAAAGTAAGGAAAGAGCAAAGAGGTAACTGCATATGAGAGATCAGCAACGATCCGGAAAACGTTAGGATTTTGCGGCTGTCCGCGTGAATTCAGGATTTAAGAGCATATGACTGGGGGGGCAACTGAAAAAGCACACTTGCTTGAAATCAACTCTATAAACCCTCAAAAAGTTTACAGTTTGGGAAAGACGCGAAATTTGAACGAATACTTGAAACGTTACTGTTTTCGCAATATAATTACTAACAAGACATTCCCGAATTTATTGGCGAGAGGGTGGAAATGAGTGCTCGAGGGAAGTTCTCCCGGTAATTTTTATCGCCATTAAGGTCGTCATTGAATGATTAACCTTACCCTCTGGCTTGCTAACTCTAGATTTTGACAGTAAAGCATGCTGCCAAAAAAAAGGAATTTTCTGACAAAATAATTGGCCGAGAAACCTCATTTTATGATTCTTGGTTTACCAGTAATTATTTGCTAGCGTATTGTTTAAACTTATTGCGAGGAAGTGAATTTTTTCGGAAAGTGTATTACAGGACGGATAGTATGATGACGATGCTGGTTCTGGAGCCTGGTCAATTCAGAGTTCAGGTTGTTGTCATACTTTTTTCATGTTTCTCAATTCCTTTCTTTTGAACTTTATTTTTAACGAATTTCATTTTTCTTACACTTTTTCTTATTTTTCAGCGATATTATAATGTACAACAATTCCATATTTTGAGTTTCGCTATAATTTGGAGTTTCGCTGTAATATGAAGAGTTATAAAACCTGAATTAAGTTTATGAACTAATTACCATCAAGCTCTTGCACACAGATTTACTGGCCATATTTTAAAGTTGATCTGAAAGGATGAATTTACTTTAGTTGATTTTTTTTTTATCTTTTTGATCCTGATTTTTATTTGAGACTTAATGACTGTACAGGAATTTTGAGGTAATCTATGGGTCAAAAAACACGGCTCCCACGCGAAGATTGGGTATTTTCGTAGTGGATGAAATGCAAGGAGAAATCATTTTTTTATTTGACGATTGTCACTTGGTAAGTCGTACAATTAATAGGATAAACTACAGTAAGCTATCAAGAGTGTTCGCGAATTCGTTTCATTCGGCATAATCACCAAATGTATTGCACACATTTAGGTTGTGTCTTTTAAAGCCTTATCAGGCTTTCCTTGGTTGCCACCTTCAAAAAGTGGTATAGGATTTTGGATTAAGGGTCGCGAGAAAATGGCATTTGTTGTTGAGTTTGAGAATCCTGAAAGCATGAAGCAGGTGCACGAACTATTGAAAACAAAATATTTGGGTAAAATTTATATTTCTTTTCCCTTTTCTATTTCAAAATTCTCGTCAATTTCGAGTGTAAAATCTGGTATGTCTACTCTTTTTATACAGGGTGATATAAATATCCAAATTATTCAAGGCAGTAGGTTTTGCAGATTATTTTCACTCTTGTTAAAATATTTTTTGACTGATAGACAATTTTATTTAATTGTACTAATTTATCGGGAAGATTTTTTAACCAGATTATGAACAGTTCTCGACGAATAACTTACCGAAACGTGCTGAAGCCTTTCTGGGTCGAATTGTACAGTTAAGCTTTCCATTCATCAATATTCTGAAACTTCAGCAATAAAAAGAAAAAAAAACTTGGAATGTTGAGTTTGGCATGCCCCTGTGCAAATATTGAGTTGTCCGAAAATTATAGTTTTGGGCTTTGATCAAGAGAATGGGAGAAATGAATTCAAGGAAGCAATTGTTTTGTAATGATGTTATCGCTGTTCTTGAAATTCTGCTAACAGAACCATACTTTTCAAAATCATGTCTTTTTACTACCACCAGCCTTAGACGAATAGCGTTGTGGATCTCCACCTTGTGTTCCACATAGAACTGTGCTTTTGGATGTATTTCCGGAATACATGCTGGAATGTTAATGAAAAGCAGTTATTTGAAATTTGTTCCAAAACTTCATGCTTTCAGTGTCTGCAGAAATCAACGCGCAATGAATCCAACAGATATTGAAAGTAGTTCGTTTTCTTCATTCCTGTTTTTGGATAAATATTTTCAGTATTAAGCTTGGCATGTTTAATATACTGCATCCAGACCTCTGGAATTTGCCGAAAAACATTTGAAACACAGATAATCTTTTGCAACATCTATTTCTTGCATATCTCTGTTTTAGTTAGGAGGTGCTTTGACCGATGCGCGCTAGATTCTGCACTGGAACCGAGGGCAAAACGATCCAGGTTATCTAATCCATTAAGCGGTATTACACATGGTTCTCTGCAGGTTGAATACCCTTTAATCCGGTATGTGAATCGCTCTTTCACAAATTTTTGCTTCTAATCTCATATTAAAGTCATTGATCTTTTATTCTTTTCAGATCGAAAAATTTCATCGCAACGCGAGTGAATTTGACAAGCTCCAATGAAAAAGTATCTCGATTTGGAAAAAATAAAAATATAGTCCCATGACTTATAGTTCATCATGTCATCATTTTCTTACTCTTTGAAACTCTAAATTGATTTTCTTTGTTTTTGATGTCTAGGATGCGCTTAAAATCAATATTGATAACACTTAAAGAACATATGATGCTGATCGGGATTATGATCAAATCACTTGTATACTGATCTTTTATGAAATGTTTAATTGCAGGGTCATCGTGGCAGTAAACATATTAGCGCTTTGAGAATTAATAACGTGGAAACATCTGGGTATGTAGGTTCCATCCCTTTGTTTACGCTTTTGTCGTATTCAAGTTTTATGAAGATAGAATATTTATTTTGTCGATAGTTTTACAGCACCAGTTGAATATGTTTTCTTTTGTTATAGATTCGTGAATCTTGGTAACACATGCTATATGGGCTCCATGCTCCAAGGCTTGTTCGCGGATGTTATTTTTGCAAAAGATCTTTTCAAATTTTGTAAAATGGTCGAGGAACTTGGCTTGAATTTGAATGAAGAAATGCCATTAAGCTTGTATGCATTGTTTCCTTGTTTGATAACAACCTTATGAGTCGTAGATGGTTTACTAGCAGATTGCTTCGACTGTTCTAATTTCCCTTTCTCTTCTTCACTTCTTATCCTCGTCTATGTTGAGAAAGAAGAACCAAGGGGGTTTCGATTACAAGATCATTTAACCTGACGAGGCGAAATGAACGAAATATTCAGATTCAGCACTTCTCTGCTGGGTTTCTGAAGCTAGTATTACCTATATAACCTGTACATAATCTAAATGGTATTGACGTTCTCTTTCGGACTAACCCATTTAACGCGGTCGTTGATGCACGTGCTGATTGACTAATGTTTTCTGCATGTTGTATATCAGTATTACCGTAAGTATGAACAAAGCATAAATCCCAATTTGTGGAATAAATTGGGTAGATGCATAACGTTAACTCGAGTTTTATTTTGCGGCTAGGCTTTAAAGCCTCTTTTTTTCTCTTGTTGTACTGTGTTGTTAGATAAAACAAAAGTAAGAATACTATAAATTATTAGGGCAATTGCTAATCTTGCAAGCCGACGTCATCGCGCTACAAATTATTTGAAAATGGCTCTTCTAGCGATGATCCAAGAAATGTCAAATTTAAATCTCCATGGCGATGCGCAACAGGTTGATTTTTTTGCATGTTTTTTGAAATGGATGTATTTGACTAATATTACTTTCAGTTTAAAATTGACTCGTTTGATTTTTCCATTTGTAACTGTTTTGTCAATGATTTTAAATTATTTCTATGGACAAAAGGAAAAACTTTCCTAACGTTGTAAAACATACATCACGACGAATGCAAACGCCAACTGAGACGATTACATTGGAACACTTTTAGTACAACTTGAGTTTGTCGATCAGTGCAAATTTTTATGCAAATCTTTGTGCAAATTCAGTGCAAATTTTTGTGCAAATCTTTGTGCAAATTCAATGCAAATTTTTGTGGTAAACCTTTTTAATTGCAGGATGCTCAAGAATTTTTAGCTAATATTTTGAATAAAATGCAAGAAGAGTGCGATAAGATATTGTGCAAACAATATAACATTGAGGATAAAGAGGAACGAAGCAAAAGAAACCCAGTCACATCGAATTTTGCCTTTGTCATGGAATCCATTATAAGATGCAGAAGGTTCTTCTAATCTACTTGTTATTTGTCGCAATTTATTTAGCGTAACGGATAAGCCAATCGTCATCTATGCTCTGAATATCCGTTTTCCATTTGGCAGTAAGCTAAATAGTTATCTATAAAATATTACTGATTTTAATCAACTGTTCAAATGAGAGAATTCAGTTGTAACGCTGTTACGAAGAACAAAGAAGAAAGTGTAATTTTGCCAGTCTCGATCCAAATGGTGGACCAAGATGGTGTTGGGTAAGCAAGCAGATTTTAGAATAGTTGCCATAAATTAGTTTTTTAATCAAGATTCGAAAGATATTTACATGCCTAATGTTTGATAGTATTTATTTGGTTTTTAATCCTTTTACTTCTCGGACATTGTTTATCGATAAAGTTAAAACGAAAACATTTTGTGATAGTCTATAAAAAAGAATTCACATGCCCAGGTGGATCCGAGGAAAGATTTTATGAATTTATCATTTTTAGGCCAACAGAAGCTCCAGGGCTCGTCACAGTGCAGACTTTGATAGATGAATATTTAAGGACTGAGCAAGTGGACAAAAAATGCGAGATTTGCGGTTTCACGAGTGCAGATAAAAGCCAGAAATTTGCTCGAATTCCGAGATAATTTTATTTCCATTCAACTTTATTTTCAGTGACATCCAATTTTAAAATTTGATGGTATTTAAACTTTGTTTTGTACTTCCTTTCCTCACTAATATTTGTTTTAGATGTCTCATTGTATTTATCAAGCGATATTCCTTCAATGCATGCGCTGCTGTAAAACGTGATGATGAAGTGGGAGTTCCGCTGTATCTGACATTGACTGAAGATTTTACCGAAGGAGCAGCTCCGTTTCCACCTTTGTCACCAACTACCATGTAAGTGTAGGATTCCCAGAAGCGTTTTTTCGGCAGTGTTCTCGAAAAATGGTTAATTTTGCTGGATTGACGACAAATGATAATGAAAATTGTTCGGTACTATATGTTTTTGTTTAAGGGATATCGATTTCTCATCTGCCAAGATGCTCAAAATAAATTTGTTTCGGTATATGAGAAAATTTGTCAACCGCACACCCACCGATGCAAAGGGAGTGAGCAGCTCATCAGTTGGAGCTGCCGAATCAAGTAAAACTGGAACTCCAGAATTTGTTATAAAATCTTCAATCCCAACCTCCTCCGCGGCAGTCTTTCCGGAAATTATTCACACTGAAAGTTGGAAAGCGTTGAAGGTTGATGATGAGGTTGCATCAAATAAACACTTTCCACCAGGTCCTGTTTCCCGTAGAACAACCGGTAATAAGCTTGATATGCAATCAAAATCGTATAAAGGTTAATTCATAAAGGAACATTTCCTTCGTTCTTTTTTTTAACTTTTTAAAATCTTTCGTTTTTCACTTAATTCCTTCTTATTCCGTAGGCCTAGCAGGGATTGTGCTCAAATTACATGAAATTGACAAAGAGATCGTTGATTTCATTTTTACCAAAATTAAGCTGACGTGAAAAAGTTCTGAATTTCAGTTCCTCTAAATAGCATGGACAAGAAGACTAATAAAAAAGCTATGTCTGGCGATATGCTTCGCAGTGATGACAGAAATTCTGACGATGAACTCGTGTATCCTATGCCTGTTTCGCACAACAGTATTCTTGATCATGATAACATTCAACCAAATTTCCTTCCCACTTCGTCCGAAGTACATTTCCAATTTTTATTCTTATATGGGTAAGCAAAGGATGAAAGTTTTTCTTGCTTGATGCACTTTGTAATGCGGCAAGCATCAATCTGAAGGCAAAAGAGGTAAGAGGTCACGCAAGAGAATATGGGGAGGAAATGGGTTGCTAAGGAAAAACAATGGGAACAGAAAAAAATATCTTGACGGTTTAGACAAAGTATTCAATTAACATTTCAGGATGAAAACAGAAATTTTGCGAGTAAGCGTGTATATCCCTTCACTAAAGTACTAATAAAAGCAAAGCGAGCGGAGGATAAGGAAAAAGGAAAGTTGGTTGATTCGAAAAGTTTGTCAAATCAACAATGGTACTTCTTTATCCTAGCACTTTTTTTTCTGGACTGAATTAATATTGCCAACTTATATTAGAACATGATTTCTTACTTTCGATACCTTTTCACAAACTAGACTTCAGTTAGGCCTCTACCATTCTTTGAAGCTTAGGACCAAACCCATGTTTTTTGGCATTATTTTTCTGCAAAAAACAGGGTAATGTCACGGATTTTTATTAAGATTGATGAAATGAGGAAAAATAATATTAATGAATATAATGCTGAGAACTGTAAAAACACTTCAGGGATGAAAATACTGGGAGATCTAATTGGTGTAACCCCTCAGCTAAAAATGATGCACAGTCTAGCAAGAAGGACGATCTAGTAGCCGTCGCAGCTGATCTGAGCAAGCTTGCTGCAACTAACGTTTCACGAGTAACTATCGAACATAGAGAAAAAGAAGTTGAAGAAGTTGACACGAGCAAGGAAGTATCAGTAGGTGAATAAAACCTGTCAATCAGCATACTTGGATTTAAAAAATTAAGAGCAGTAAAGGTGAAAACATTGTTAACCAGCATCATGAAATTGAAAATGTGAAATGTTGGAATACATTAATGAGAATTATTAAAACTAGAAAAAGGAACTTTATTCGTTAATTTTTCTGTCCGAGTTTTAGTTCCATACAAACCAAAATCTGGAGAGTGCAATGCAGTTTCTGACAGTACTGATGGCCACGGAAAATCGAAACAACTTACTGCTGTACAAGATCATATGCTTAATATCAGAGTTGACGAGAATTATTTTGCCGACTTAAAGTCGAAAATTAATGTTCTTACACCGGTAAGTTTGGTTTTTTCTCAACCAGTGCATATTGAAAAATGTGCATCAACTAGAAAGAATAGAGAGGGAGAGGGTCTTGGAAATTGAACCAGTGGTTTAGATTTTGAAAATAATTTTTTGAAAAAGGTATGTTTTATCAGTTTTGATCAAAGGACGGTGCACCGGAAATCTAATGAAGAATAATTTTTGAGGATGGCAGAGGTCCTTTTCAACCAGAATCTACTTTAAAAGCAGGGCGTTTGCCACGAGAGCAGAGATTGCTTAGCTCTTTTTTTGCTCAAACACAGCGAAATCTGTCACGGTATCTCCTTGGAGTCTTTTTTTTTTGCACTAGTTCAACGAAATTAATTTTTACAAAACTTTTGCATAAATCTTTTAGTTTCATTAATCGAATTTCCTTAAAAAAATTTCTCTAGCTAGGTATATTCATTAGCGCCCCTGCAATATCCTTAATCCACATTCAACTATCAGTATCGAGTGAAATGAGAACCTATGTGTTGCTTGCACTTGGAATAGAGAAATGGTTGATGACAATGTATTGAAGTGTTGTTATTATCTCAGCTTGCTTTACGAGCACATTTAACCAAATCTTCAGCAGGAGTAAGTTTGTGAGAAGAGTACTCAGTTTGTCATTTTAATCATAATTTCATTCATTAATAAATCTTTTTTACTTTAAGCATTGACAATCCGACATCAAAAGGCGACTATACAGATGAGGAGCTTTACTTCATGACTGAAGAAGAACAAATCATGGCGGTTGGTTAATCTCTTTAGGAAGTTTGCTTCATATAATATATTGTTCAGCAAGAAGCCACTTATGATTAGGACAAAAATATGGTTAATTTATAGGCTTGTGAACGTAGCATTGCTGATCAGTTGAAATCCTCTCAAAAAGGCAATGAGATTTCTGCGGAAATATCGCAGGAAAGCGATGAAGAGGTTTGATTTTCTTTGTATAATCCTCAATAAGCTTTACAGTTGTTGCAAAGCTCTAAAGAGATGTTATTTAGTATTTATTGAAAAGAACTTTGAATGCATTTCAGAGTTTGCGTATACAGGATGAACCGATGAGCCAGGAATTATCGTCTCCTGATTCTGATGAAGATTTAAAATTGGACGTAGAAGTGGTTGAAGTAGTAGATTGCTCACAGAAGTTTCACAAACAAGAAAATGAACAAAGCGTTGATAAATTGATGAGCCAGAAATCATCATCTCCTGTAGCTAATGTAGAGGCAGAAATGGTCGCAGAAACAAAGAATTACCCAAAGAAATTTAACAAGGAAGGAGGAAAATTTGAAGGTGGGCGTAATTTATATTCTAACAACGCGCAAGAAATAGCCGAATGCGAACATGAAGATAAGGTGGGAATTAGGATTCTAGAAAAACAAGGAAATACTGATGTAAATGAGAAAGCGGTACAAGGAAATAACCAAAATACTTTTGGAATTGAAGGTGAGGATTTGAGCAAGCCGTCTAAATCTCTTGAAAACGTACTGCCAAATACTGATAGCACCGATTCATCTGCGTACAAGGATACGAATCAAAGTGATGAAAACTAACGGCTATCGAAGCCGAGTTCTATCCCAATGATATGTGGAGAACCTCGGAAAATGCGAATAGTACTGCTGATAAGGTTGGATAAATTATAACCTTGTGTTTATAACTAATAGCCACACCAATAGATACCTATTGATGAATTTGCTTGATGAATTTTGCGCAATTCTAATATTCCTCTGAACTTGACTCACAAAAATGAATATTCTGCTACCACAACCAAGCCAGTTACGCCTTTAACACTTAAATCTTTGAATGATGGCAAGGATTCCAAATTATGTTTATAACTAATAGCCACACCAATAGATACCTATTGAGGATTTCAAAACTTCGTTTTGACGCTGCAAAATACAAATTTCACGTGTCCTCCAGAAGACTTTCCCATTTTCTGTAGACTTTGTAATCTTTTTTTCCGATTTGCGCAATTTATATTATTTTTTCGAACATTTCGAGATTCCTTTGTTGAAACTTCTGGATTCAGAGTGGTGCCAGACGAAAAACATGCCTAAAAAAGAGCAGGTCTTCCACACCACCAGCACTATCATTCTACACTGAACGCGTGGTAGCATTCCCTGAAAGATATGCTTCTGTCGTAAGCGATAATCTGTTACCGGAGTTTAAGCAGGCGGTGGTTGGAGCAAAAACGACATCCTCAAATAGTAAGTTAAGTTTCTTAAGTACATTGCATTTTTCGTACCTAAGTTGTTTTCTTTTGATACTCGCTCTTTTACAGATTCCGCGTGTTCCATGGTGTCACCTGAATCTGCTTCAACTAATATTCCTCTGAACTTGACTCACAAAAATGAATATTCTGCTACCACAACCAAGCCAGTTACGCCTTTAACACTTAAATCTTTGAATGATGGGGATTCCAAATTACCGGCTAGACCATCGTTGTCTGACAACACAGATTTTGATGTAAGGAGCATTGGAAACTCGGACGAAGGATCATCGCGGAGCAGTATCAGTGACGATTTTCTGAGCACAGATGGAGTGAGCTTTGAGCTCTAAATTAAAGATATGGTAGGATTGTGAGAAAAAGTAAGCAGCTCTGAAAGAAGGAAGATTTCTGGTTCTGAAATTTTCTTTGCCTAAAAGATGAATCATAGAAAATCAATTATAAATCCGAAACGAATTCAGTTGACTCTCACCGCTCTATAGAGATTCTACAAAGATAGTAATGGAAGTATTTACAGACAATGAGCTTAAGAATCCCTGAAGTGAAGTAGAGTTTGAAACCGGTGAATTTCAAAGTAACAAATATCTTCCATATTTTCGATTTTAACGAATGTAAATGGTAACGAAACTTTGGACAGTCAGATTTTCACTGATAATTTGCTTGCAAAATTACTACTGAGAAAACTGATTCTTATTTGGTAATGTTTTTATATTCAAGAAGGAGATCTACGATGTATTTGGTTCAGAATCAGTTCCGTACAAACCACTAAGCTATAATAGCCGACGTTCAATTTGTCGATATATTGGCATGGATTTCAAAGTCGATTGGATGCAAGTTTCTGTTTTAATTTTGAGCATTGTCTTTTAATTTTAAATAGAAATTTGTTATTTCTGACACTAATTGAATGGTGCTATTGATACCTTCCAGTTACTCAAATCAGCATCCAATGCAGTGATTGCACCATTATAAGCTCTCTCAGTATGCGTCTCTTAGTGTTTTAATTGATGTGTAACCCGGTATCAGTTAAATTTGATGCTTTGGACACTAGCTAGCCAAAGCAGCACAGTATATTCCAAATTATCCTGGCATAAATCGCATAATATCCATACATGTCTCATTCATTGTCATTTCCACATTACTACAGTTGTTCAGACTGGTTTGTTACGTTCGTTGAGTTGAATGCGCTCGAAATGACGATAGATTTCAGGGTTCAGTCATCAGTTGTAGAGATGGATATATGCGATAAACCACTCACCCTGATTGGGATCAGAGGGGACTATAACTCCCTATTTCAATCACTGGCTTATTATATTGCTGGTAGTGAAAAGGATTATCGATTGCTTCGAGAAACTGTAACTTTATTTTTGATCAAGTTGAAAAAAATTGCTGAAAATTTCTAAAATCATTCGATAGTTGGGATTAGTATTAGTAATTTCTTTTGTTGCAGATTATTGGCTTTGAAGTGGAACATTCGGATAAATTTGCTGCTATAAAGAACTGGACAGATGACAATTGGGCTTGCCATTTAGATCTGTTAACGGACACTGGCATGGGAACTGAAATGGAACTTTACGCTTTTGCAGCAATGTTTTCTATTGATGTTTGGGTTTTTCACAAGAAAGAGTGGCTTTGCTATAGACCTAAGTTCTTGGCGATCGGTAATGAATGCGAAGGTAGACTATTGTACACCTGTTTATGCTTATTTTATGCTGTTCAGACGAAAAGTCCGAATTTTATATCAGATTTCAAACTGCTTTTAAACTTTCTAGGGTTTGTAATTATTTGGACAGCTGATATAATTTCTCATATTTCTCTTACTCAATTTTCAATCAATTTGAATAAAAATTTTTAGAAATAAATATTCGAGACTACTGCGTTGGTGCAAAGGAAGGTGTCTATCTGATGTGCGAAAATTATCTGTTTTCTCCAGTGCTCACGCCTTCGGTGCGGACAAAAATCTTTGTATTATGATTTTAATACTACTGGAAACTCTTTGATAGGAAAAATTACAAATTTTTTGAGATGTTTTTTGGTACGGGTAAGTAGCTTGTTATGGTTTCATGATGCTTCATGATGAGCAGTTAAATTTAGAATAAAATCTTCCTCAACAAAATTATACTCAACAGCTCAGTTGATAGCAATGATACTAATTTTGTGGAAGAAGATTCTCAATCTGAGGTAAATTTTTATGCTTATAAAAATCTCCACTTTTTAGGTGATTTCACCAACAAAAGACTACACATTCTTTATAATGGAAATAAACTTTCGTGTCACAAATATCACGAAGTATTAGCACGGATGTTTCTTGTATTTTTGAAGTAGAATTCCAATTTGAAAAAAAAAGAAGGAATGTTGGCGTTGTGAAAATTTCCACTGATGTGTGCGACTTATTTTCTGTATTTTCTTAATCCGAATATCTTAATTTAGAGTGCAGAAGTTCATGATGATAATAACGCTGAACGGCTTTCTGATATGGCTGTAAGTACTCATATATGTTTTATGAGTGAGATTTTTTTTTCTAATGCAATATTACAGAAGTATGATTTAACAGAAAATACAGTTACATAGGTTGGCTGTTTTAGATTTCAATTTTTTCACTTTTTGAGCTGTTCTAGTTAAAATCAAAATTTTACATTACTCGTCTAACTAAGATCTCATTTACTGATAAATGAGTACTGCTTAGTCAGAAAAGATACACATTATATGATGTACACAACTGATAAGCTTGTTTTGAGGAAGATATCACGGGGGCGTCGTATCGACTTATATCTGTTGTCAGTCATTTGGGAGAAGGAACAGAGAGTGGTAAGTATGATGGATGTATCTTTAAAGGTTTTAAAAACTATTTTAAGTACTCTTCCGACATAAATTGAACTGATATGGAGATTTAGTTTCGATTTATATTCCTAACCTTCCTCAGTTTCGCGAACTAACCTTCCACTTGACTAATGAAAAGAAAGTCAGGAACAAAAAAAAATGTCAGATAATTTAAAAGAGAACCACTTTTCCATGCAGGTCACTACATATGTGATGCTTGGTGTAATAAATCGAAAGGTTGGTTACTTTGCAACGATAACTCAATCACACCTACTGATCAAGAATCAGTGCTGAACAGCGACGGTACTGGATACATCTATTTTTACCTTAATAGGTAAGAATGTTTTAAATTTTCCAATTCATTCTTTGGAATGAAAGTACCAAAAAACTTCGCGTGTTTTATATTTATGCTAATCAAATTATCAGTTCTTTACTACTCGTTTTTTATGTGGATCTATTAATTACATCCAAAAAACATCGTTAATTTGATTCCCCAAATTTCTGTTGATATGTTGAATCAACGCTTCGAAAGATATACGATAAAAAATTCATCTAGGCTTCTACGAGGAGAATGCATTGAGATCATGCAAAAACGCAGACCAAACTAAAAGCACGATTATTACATGATCGTTTCCGTTTACTGTTTTTGTAAGCGAATTGTCGTTTTTAAATATTGATGTGTTTCTCCTATATTTAGAATACTCATATTAGTTGTTTCTATTCATATGATGATAATTTCAGCGAGCTATTCGAAAGTCAATGATCACGGAAGATGCAATTGCTTAGCTAAATCAGCTCGCGAATTCGAATTTTTGCATTATTTTTTTTGTAACATTTACTTAAGCGTATTTCAATGTTGTCGTTATTAACTGCTGATGTCATTCACTGGAATTTGTTATCGTCAGTTCTACTTCTTCCTTACTTTTTTGCTAAGAATCCCCCCTCCCCTCCGAATATGAATTTTTGCTAGGTTTTTGTTGTCAAAAAGAATGTTAAGATTTCTCAATACAAATCTGATCCATATGTATTTTAAAGAATTTGTGGGAAATGAATTTGTATCCTTTTCTGTGATTACAGAAATTCTCTGGGGTTAATTTTGATTTAATCGTATTTAATTGTATTTAACCAACATTGTGCATGGAATCTTGTGGACGCAGTTTATGTGTCAAATTCGATTCCTTATTTTATCCATCCGTTTTAACCAAAATGAAGGAGTGGATGGTATGAAGAGTTCGATGGTACGAAGAGTGAAATGAAGAGTTGGATCGTACCGGTGACATATAGCGTATTTTCCACTGCTTTGCGTATAAGTGTTTGAATTGTTTCTGACTTTATTGTTTTGCTGGTTTGGATAAAATGCAGTAATGCAAAAAATCAGCGTCCAAAAAGCAGCATGGTATAAACTTGACGCAGATAGACTGCGAAATATAATCTCACGATTGGACATTAACACTCAATACCATACCATTTGTTATAGATTATTTCCTGGAACTCTTATGTTTAGAATGTTATTGAAATTTTACGAACAAACTTTAAGAAGATTACCAAAAGACCTTTCTATCATAATTTACCTTTTTTTCTTTTTTGGCATGGTATGAAAATGCAGACATGCAATCAATCAAAGAAGCATGTTACGATTTCGAGCCATATACATTCTTTACTTTTACTTTCATAATGTATTACTTAAGGTACTTGGTTCTTTTCCTTAGCTCAATCTAAGCATTATTTTAAATATAGGCATTTTTATCATTTTATACTAATGATATGAAATCCCTATCTGTTGAAAAGACTTATTACTGAATAGTTTGATAATTACTAATGACTATAAAAGAGTTAATCATATAATATCCAAGTATTGCGTTTATAATTAACTTTTGCAGTATATTTACTTCGTTGCATTCCAGAACCTTGTATTATATTCCAATAGATTCATTCATTCGTAGCAATGTGAATATGCAAGATGTTAGGAAACATCATTAATTCTTTTATCTATCCATCTATCAAATTAATTTTAGAACTAAAGTATAATTTGTTGAAAGTAACGAATTCTCAATAATCGATCTAGCTAATAAATCATTTCTCTTCCTCTCACTAAAACATTTTATTTATTTGTAAATTT